GGTTCACAGCTGGGGGCTAGGGGGTCAGCAGAGTCCTGTTGCAGAGGCACAGGGGTAAGGGAGCCAGCCCTGCTGAGTCGGGGGCTCCCAATGGCAGAGCAGAAAGGGACCTCAGGTCTTCAGAGCAGAGAAACTGAGGCTCAACACTAGCCAAGGTCATGGGATTCCATGTCTAGCACACTCCCCGAGTTCTTCCCCGGGAATCACAGAGGGGCTGGGGTTAGAGGCAGCAATCCGTGCACCTCCCAAAACCAGGCACAAAGTCTCCTTTGTGGGGACACATGTATTTTCTGGAAGGAAAGGCCATAGCTTTTATCACATTTTCCCTGCCAAAAGAGCCACTGTACCATAACAAACTCCCTTCCCGAGCTCCAGTCCCACCTCTGCCAGTGACTCTGCAATTTACCTCTCAGGGGCTTCAGTCTAACTCTCTGCTGAATGCGTTTCTTCAGTGACTGTATAGGGGCACACTTGGGGTCAAATGCACAAACGTTCCCTCCGTTTAGCAGGAATTCTGTATCAAATAAGCGCCGTCAAAGGCTGAGAGGCAGAACTCGAAAGACTAACATCTAGTCCCAGCTCTGCCCCCTGGCTACATGCCCTTGGACAAACTATCTCAACTCCAGGCCTCAGTGTTCTTATCTGTGAAATGGGGATGAAATCTAAGAATAAAACCTGGCCAGTCAGGCCCCCGTGAGGCCAAACCACAAGCATGTGCTGAAAAAGCGTTCTAAGAACTACGGTCACATGAGCGGCGCAAGGAGCCACCACTGCTCTCTGGCACCTTCGGCACTGAAGCCAACCCCGGGCCCTGTCTACTCCACTCATTCCTTGCTGCCAAGAAGAAAACATACAATTAGCTACCTTAAGGAGGGAAAGGACTGCTGGTAGCCAAGAAGGCACCACAGACACCTGTTTCTAGCACCCCCACCGACCCTGGAGGAGAGCCAAGTGGAGAAGGCAGCCAGGACACCACTGGGCCCAAAGTAAGACACACAGGTAGCACTGAGAGTGTCCGCTTCACAAAAGGAGGCCAGGACCCAGACAGCAGCGTCTAAGAGGACCCAATGGCACCCAAGGGCGTTCATCAATACTCTGAGACCCAACGCTCTAGCCGGGAGAGGAAACCACAGTAGAGTCCCCGTGAGCCTCCTCCCAGGGCCTCACGGCTGTTCTGACTTAAGGCAAACCAATTTCTCAGAAAAGTCCACTCGCGCACCAAATGTCCTAAGGCTCCACGTTACATGCGGTCAACATCAGGGGCTCATGCTTACAGATAATGTGCTTGGTGTGTCAGTGGGGAAACAGACTGTGACTCAAATAAAAACTCACCAATTCCAAGAAAATTTAAACCCCCTCCCCCGAATCACCTGGTTCATTCCAGCTCCTAGGGTCCGGCCTTGACGTGAGAGGAGCCTTTAAGACCGCTGGGACCGTTGCCAAGAAGGGGAGACAATTTGCCAGGAGCACAAAGTCATTTCCCTAAGCGAGTGGAGACCAGGATCTTCCCAGTCGAGGTCCCTTCTAGCCCAGCAGCAGTCGGGCACTCCCTCCTCACCCCTGCCCCTCACCAAGGCTTGAGCAGGTACCTGGGCTGACAGGCTCCCCCACAAACTATGGTGATCTGTGAATCATCTTAATTGAAAAAGGAAAGTCAGTTGCTGCCCACTCTTTTACAAGATGCCAGGTAACTAGCTAATGCACATTAGAGGCACCAGGCTCAAGATCACCCCGCAAAAGTGAAGTCGCCAAAAGAACATCTTCCAATATGCCATTGGCTATTCCAGGCCAGGTTACTCAGTGACCCCGAATTACCTATTTTTTCTCACCCATAGTTCCTTAACCCCTTCATTCAATTAGCACCCATGCCTACTATGTGCAAGGCATTATGGGAGAGTTACACAGATGAATAGCTCTGTATATACATGAAAGGTCTCTGGCATGGAAAAAATTAATAAGCTGTGGTTGGAAAGACAAATCCGAATGAGAAGTCAATCGGAACAGGAGCCAACAGGGCACTTGCCATGGTCCTGCAGCACTGAGCCAGTGTTAGGAGCACCGATTCTGGAGTCAGTTATGGCCCGTGTTTGGACCCTCGTTCTACCAGATACCAGCTGTGAATTAACCTCTCTGTGCCTCAGTTTCCTCATCTGCAAATGGAGGTAACAATTCCTTCTCTCACTTGGCCCCTTGGCGGCTTGAAATGAGACTGAACCAAAGCACTCAGCAAGCACAAGGCCCCAGCCCATGGAAAGCTGCCAACAAGGCTCTGTATAGATGGTTTCCATGGGCAGTGAGATGGAGTGATCAAAGTGTGCAGAAAACGATCATAAAAGTTATCATAAAAGTCTACAAAAAAGTTTAAAAAAATGGCCAGGATTTGAATGGATAGGAGAGGCATGCATTCCAAACTGGAGGAAGAGTCTGGAAAGAGACAACAGCAGTAATTCTAGCAAGCAGGAATGAGGGCTAACTAGACAGTAGCCATGGAAATAGAACACATGAAGATTGGAGAAGGACAATGAAAAAAGAGTTCCTTTTCTTAATTTTCTCAAATTTCTCTTAATTTTCCAGTTGCTTCTCTGTCACCCCTGCAACCCCAAACCACCCCTTAATGCCTTCACAATACAGATGTTCCCTCCCCGTCCTCATTTATCACAACCTGCCTCTCAGACCAATGAAACCAAGTGGATTCCAACCTAGGAAAAAGAGTTTTGACCCCAAAATCCGCGAACTCTGGTCCTCAATCAGCGTGACTTCAATCAAGTCTATGCCAACTTCACAGCATAATTCTGACACTATTCCTTAACAAATTATTGAAAGCAAACCCACGCAAGCTTTCGCTGCCATCCATATTGCTTCAAGATGGCAGACCAAACCACAAATGGCCAGAACCTCACACCCTTTTACCAGAGCACAAAACTTTGTTAGAAATTATTAACTTCTGGGGTGCCTGGGTGGCTCAGTCAGTTGAGCATCAGACTTCGGCTCAGGTCATGATCTCAAGGTTCCAGTTTGAGCCCTGCAACAGGCTCACTGCTGTTAAGGCAGAGCCTGCTTCGGATCCTCTGTTCTCTGCACACACACCCCGCGCACCCACCCCCCCCACCCGCCCCACTGCCGGCTGGCGCACTCGCTCTCAAAAATAAATAAATATATTTTTAAAAAATTAACTTTTCTCACAGATTGCAAAAGATAGCATAGACACCCTATATCAAGAGATTTATTTGACATAGGCACGTCCACCTCTCTCCCCAACTCTTAAAAACGAAACCATTTGCACAGCAAAGATTGGCCACACAGGAATCAGCTCTCCATAGGTTCCAAAAAAACAAAAAAACAAAACAAAAACAGAGAAAAAGCAAGACTTTTCCTAAGTAGAAATTCACTAACTTTTCCTAAGTCAAATTCGCTAACTATTTTTTATATGGCTAATGCAAAATCTTTCTCCTGGCCTCCTCCTAGCCAACTCCCCAGCTCCGAACCCTGTAGATCATCAAATTTCACAGATTTTCCCATAAGAACCACACCATAAAAGAACCAGTCACCTCACCTTGCACTACTAAAAGTTTACCAGGCTGGGGCACCAGCTTCTCTTTTGCAACCCTAGAGAGGGTACATGAACTGGTCAATTTCCTCAGCATTCTGTGCTAAGGTCATTAACTTTTCAGTCATAACAAAATTGCATCACGTTGAATATTCTTAAAACCAGTGAGCCTCCAGCTTAGTCTCTAACTCCCTGTATTTCAGGGGAAATCTTCACTGTAAAGATATTCATGGAATGGATTTAATTTAACAAAAATGCAACTTAGTTCCGTGTCCTAAGTCGTTTCTAAACTCTCCTCTGCATCACCAGGGGACACACATGGCCTGGCCAAGTGGGTGGGCCTTGAGATGCTAAAGAAACCACAACTTCATTACTCGGTAGAGCTTCTGGAGAACTATTCCCTACCCACCATGAAAAAGTGGCCAAGATCAAATGAAATAATCATGCGGTAAAGGGCCATGCGTCACACACACACGTCATCAATAATGTCAATATCAATAAGCACACGTCATCATCATCATCATCATCAATCATCAATAATACTGCCATATCAATATCACCCCCATCTACCAGGCCAATGGGAAGCAAAGACTGGAAAGAGGCTGGGAAGAATTGCAGACACTTCCCCTTCCATCTCCCATCTCCCCAAGATCATGTTTCATCTGATCATAAATTCTGACTCCAACCCATGTTTGGAATCCAATATTTTTTTTTGAGGGGCACTGCCATGGGAGATGGATATGCGGTAGACATCACTCTTATAAGCGTTTCATAAATCTTAAGAAACTCATCCAGGTAGGGGATGAATGATAGCGAAGCAAGCACTATATGATGAAATTAACTACCTTCACAAGAACATTCTGAACACGAGATTATGGAGCAGCCAAGGACCTGAAAGCATACATGGTCTTAGTGGACACAGCATGAGCCCCCCCAACACACACACATACATATATACATACATACACACACACACACACACACACACACACCCCACACACAACCCAAAACGTAATTGAAAAGACTGCTCCCTGGAAAGTAATGCAAGAGTCCATTTCACCAATGCTCACTCAAACACCCAAGCACAAGTTTCATAGTTGCTTTTCTGTTGTGGTGGTGGTACATTTTTGAATTAAACCAATACCAAGGAGGCTCGGTCTCTTCCCAGCTAACTGTCCACTCTGAACATAACCCTCACATGGCTGAGCCCTGATCAACACCATTTAATTCTCCAGATAGGTATCTACACTCTTTTGCATAATCACAACATTATGAAATACCGTTCACCAAGTTACAACGGGGCAAGGGCAGCAGGGAGGGGAGCAGAACAAAAAGAAAGGCAAGGAGAAAACAAAGACCACTGCCAATTGGCTGTGTATTTGCTTCTGGTACTAGAGAAGTTAGAGCTCTCCAACCCTGTAATTATTGCCAGGATTAAAAATTTGTTACTCACGTAATCATGAAAGGCTTTTGCTTCACTCGAATGTTCACAAGTGTCTCGCCTTTCAGGAGCTGCACAGTAAAGGTCCCAAAATACGCTGCAAATCGAAACATAAAATAAGATCAGGTTACTAATTATCACTTGTGTCCCAACGACAAGTGCACAACGTGCGGTGCTAACAGCACCAGGTCTCCCAGAGGCTCAATCCCACACCCCCAGCCTTTATTGAGTAAACTCGGGCTTGAAAACAAAATGGACCGACTTCTTCCGGCAAGCCAGACATCTGTAGTAAGAGTGTCAGTTCTATTGGGTGCCTACCATGTGCCGGATGCCTCTCACCCACGACACTACCCGTAACTACCACGGTGTTACAAGGTGGGTGACTTTACCCCTACTTTATACACGGGGCAACTGAAGTTTGGACAGATTAGTACAAGCCGTCCACGGGGGTGCCCATATAGGACACGTAGGAATGTAGATAAGAATCCACACCTCTCCTTTCAGCTGTATTCCTCTCACCAACCCCTCCCCAACTTAAATGGCTACGTTTCATAAAAAGGTTAAACTGTCAAAGTCAGGACTATGATTCATACGTGTAGCAATCTGGGTGACTGGCAAGAAAGGGAACGTACAGGTTCTTAATCCCAGAGCCAAGAGCCCACACCCCCGCCCCTCCCATCTCACCCCTACTCCCATCCAGGCCCTCCCCCAAGGAATTCTTATGCAAGAACCATTCCCCCACTCAAAGAATGCATATCAATTAGGCAAAGAAGAGTATGTTATAGACAACCAAGTATCTTGTCCTTTCATGTTGAAATAGCCCTCCTCAGAGAGGCCTCAGTCCACCCATCCAGCAAGAGGGGAGTGGGGTCAGGGGGGAAGCCTAGACCTCCCTGCCTCATCCCCCTCCAAGATTTTGTATGGTCATTCTAACACTCTGTATCACCTGAGAATAGACAAATCACCTGTCAGCCAGTAAAACTTTATACAAACCCCAGTATTTGGTATTAGTAAGGGCCTCTGGGTTAGGAGCCCAAGGCCCAGGGCTGGGCACCCACTTGAACGAAACGGGCCCCAGAGCCTAAGTCTGACTCCTGGTCTGGTGCTCCTGTCCCCATCACAAACAGCCAGCTCTGCCAGTGTCATCGGAGGAGCCATACCATTCAAGGGGTGTGAATCCCGTGGCCTGACCCTCTTAGAATCAGGGCCACTGCTTCCTCCCACCTAGAGAGCCTCAGCTCATTTGTCAAGTGGCGCAAGGCAACTTCTAACTAACCAGACCACAGCCACTCAGAGCCACCACTGCTCTCCACGTTCCTGGGGCTGAGACAAGGCCGGAGAAGATTGCGCGAGGGATTACGGATGGAACAAGAAAATCGGGGGCTTCTAGTAGCTGCAGAAGGAGGCTCAAAAACATTCCTTTCTGTCCCCTGAAGCTGCACACGTTTAACTCCCCCACACACCGAAGACTTCCAACACTAAAAACTCCGCAGCTCCTTCTCAGTAACTTCTACCTATGAGCCCAAGTTTCTGCAAAATTCACGATGATCAGACACACCAACCCCGCTCACACAGTCCTCTCCAAAAACCACCACAGAGAACCCATCACCCACTCCTACAGGTAGAACCCTTACGCCACAGCACGGCAGTTCCGAGGTTGGCAGAAGTAATTAAAAACTCATTTTCTCTGTGCAAGTTAGAACAGACACTTCATCCCCCCGCATTTCGATTCAAAGAAACTTGAAACAGTAGCCTGAACTGGTGGTCAGGTAAACGCGCTAAGATCCCAAGACATGGCACAGGGACCCTTCTGAACTCCCACCAAAATATCAAAAGCCACTCTGCTTTCTTGTCCTTTTCAAAAGGATGTCAAAGACTCCACCAATCGGTCCCGCAAAACATCCAGGTCTTACACTCACAGCAATTCACTCCTGCTGACCCCTAAGCCGCCTCCTGCCTGCTGCAAAACCGACAAGGAGATCACACCTGCTGAGGTCCCACCCTGAAGGGCCCCAGGAAAGGGTCACAAATAAGGGAGAGCCAGGAAACTACATGCACTCTGAGAGGTCAACACCAACCAGTTAAGGTTCTCCCTAAAACGAAACTTTGTGGCTTTAGGGATGCTGGGGGTAGGGCCCACAGAGGAGAGGAAGGTCCAATCAGTCTGAATCAGTATCTTTAAAGGAAGTGGCAGCCCCTTCTTGCTTTTTCTGAGTGTGCCTGGGAAAGGCCCCAGTAGATTTGCTCTCTCAAGGTTTCAAACTCACAGAAGAAAAAGGAAGGGACAGGCCAGTTGTAACACAGACCTAGTATCCTCTCCACCCCACCCCGCCCCCACTCCCTCTAATTAAAGCAGCATGCAGAACTGACAAAAATCCTTCAAGGTTTTTTCAAGCCCCTGCTTGGTACCCCAGAGAGAGACAGAAAAGTGAAAGAGTTTCTGTACGAACACTAGGCACGATTTAGTCGGTTCTCAATAGGAGGAGAAAGAGAAGGCAAAAACTTCAGGTACCAGCCTCTCCTGCCCTTCTCCTCCTTCACCAGTTCTGGTCTGAGTGCCCGCAGGTGCCCTGTTCTGTGCCAAGACTGAGGGCTAAGGCATGGGGGTCTGTTCCACGCCTCCCGTCTTTGTTCACTAGGATCCTGGGCTCAGAACAAAACAAACACACACACAAAACTATCACGCAAACTTACCACCACCACGAGTGCAAAAACCCAGGCGGTTCTCCCAACGTGATGTTTTTTTCCCATCGAATCTGGAAAGCAGAGAGCAGAGACCACTTAGAGGAGCAGAGAGGAAGGGTGCGCTGGGGGCTTCCCAGAGCCAAAAGGCTGTGAAGACCAACTAACAATAAATGCCAAAAGGTGATAAAAATTCAAAATGGTGGCCACAGTGGCTGCTCCTGAAAACAAAGGCTCCAAGAATAGTGGGGAAGACGGGGTGTCCAGAAATTGGATGGCTGGGGGGAGTTCCACTCACCTCTGACAAGAAGGTCTGTGCAGATTTCTGTGCTCCTACGTGCAGTAAATATTCGTAGACGTATAAAGCTAACCTGGAAAGTGGGTAGGGGGCACAAAAAGAGAGGGAAGACGTCAGATCACACGGGGTGCTCGCTTCTGGACCTTGCCAGCCGGCTTCCAGCCCTGTCTGCGCTGTCCCATTGTGGCCCCAACCAGAGGTGAGCGGCCAGCTCGGCCATGCCCTTTGGGGGGGGGGGGGGGGGGGGGGTATGCGGGTGGAAACAGTTATCGGGTGGGTACCAGGCGACGCGTTGCCTCGAGCCGTGAGGGCTGGAAAGCAGCCCCCAAACTTGAACTTCCAACTGGCATCGGAGCCAAAACCACCTAGGTCTCTCAAACTCGAAAGCCTTCCGACCCCAGAGCCTCCCTCCTTTTCCCGACCCACTCGTTGCCACCGCCACCCTCTCCCTAGCTCTGTGGGTCCGGGGAGACTCAGTCCCGGACTCCGGGGTGCTCCGTGCGCTCTGGAGAGGGCAGCAAAGCGCCACCCTCACCACCTCCCCCCCAAGCAACTGTCCCCCAAGCCCAGGGCCAAGCCGG